TTCTTCATCATCGTCCGGCCATATAGCCGATCCGCTGTACGGTCCCCATCGTCGATGTATAGTCAGCCAGCTATATAATTAGACGCTGGCGATGTGGCTGTATGAGTGGATCAGCTATACGTAGCCCAGTGTATATTTTGCTCGGTGACTCTGTAAAGTGTGAGCCCTCTGCAAGTCGTGTCTCAGAAGTCGCTCACTACACAAGCATGCTTCTATTTATGCTTTGTACTTTTCAGTTTTTTGTTCCATTACATTTTATTTTCGTAAATGTTGTTTACAAACGATATGTTGAAGTATGTCGTATGTGTAGAGGAGTAGTGGAGAGTGGTGGCGTCGTGTGCGCTGTCCGGTGCGGTGACCTCACGGGACGTGGGGTCGCACGCGCTGGGCAGTGCACGTGACATCACCCCTCCGAGGGTATATAAGGGAGACCCCGTAACGTAAGCGGGGTCACTATAGGAACGGGGATAGTAAACAGGGTGAAGAGGGAACCAGGGATAGTGAGAGGGATCAAATAGGGAGTCTGGGGAGAAGCCGGTGGTAGCCGAAGAGGTGCTTCTCTCTCCGGTCGGTGGAGTCGGCAGACTCCACGATCCGACACGAGAGAGAGACCGGAGCTAGCCGGCAGGGACCCAGACTCAGAGTAGGACCCCTAGCCCCTGGGAGTTGTGTACCCTGTGTAGTTTTGACCAAGAGTAATAAACCCTGGCGGAAGCCCCTAACCATACCTCCGTCTCCGAGTACGTCCGTCGGAACTTCTCTACATATGTATTGATTAAAAACAATCTTCTGTAGACTGATTGGTCTACGACTCTTTATTTTCACCACGTTGAATTAACTTTCTGAACAAACTTCAGGCACGAGGATCGAAAACAAAATCCATAGTTGTACCATGCTTCTATGCTCCCACTGCCCATCTTAACCAACCCATACTTTACCAACCAACCTGGCCTGCACCTCGCCGTTCACCAGCCTATACTGACCAGCGAGGTGAAGTATTGCCAACAAATCCTCATAACACACGACATGAGGAGGCCCTCATCCAGCAGTGAATTGATCAAATGGGACCGTGTATGTGTGCAAGTTTTACTGTGTCATGCTTTGATTTTTGAGAGAGAAAAAAATGTTTCCTTCATTCTGTTCCGTTCCAGATTAGGCTGCTCCGGTTCACTCTGCAGCTAAGCTCACCGAATAGTTTGTGCGATCAGAGCGGAAGATGCTGCCCGACTGTAAACACTAGTCCTCGTTTTAAATAGACACATAACCACAGCGAGATTGCAATCATCCGTTGGTTGCAGATGTACAGATACATTGACTCGCGATGAATGTCAAGTAACACCATTTTATGAGCTTGCAATTCACTATTTTTGTTCATAAAAGTGCCATTGATTCAGTTAAAGCACATTATATGTGGTGAACAAGCACAACAAACAACTAACTACAATATCACGCTCGTCAATAACACTGCGGCCTTCATAGTAAAACTATACAACACAATGTTTCAGGCAACGCTTTGTCTTCATTGGCCCTCCATAGAATGAATGTGCTGTGGAGGGCCATTGCCCGAAACGTCGCCGATTTTGTTTTCCTTTGAAGGCTACAGAACTAATGACAAAGGTGTTGCGTTTTTGTTTTATTTAGTTTACGGTGACTGTACACTTTAAGATAATGAAAATTACATAAAGTGTCTTGCCAGAAACTATGTCCTGCCTACGCACAGGGATTTTAAAACGTGTACCCGTGCTTTGTAACTTGTCGAATACATGTATTTGTGATGCGGTGGGCCGGTTTTGAGTCGAAATAAGCTGCATGGGATCAATCCCATCCAATCACAGATGGTTATAGCATCAGGAGGGCGGCATGAAACAATGCATGGGATCAATACCATCCAATCACAGATGGTTATAGCATCAGGAGGCTGGCATGAAACAATGCATGGGATCAATCCCATCCAATCACAGATGGTTATAGCATCAGGAGGGCCGGCATGAAACAATGCATGAGATCAATCCCATCCAATCACAGATGGTTATAGCATCAGGAGGGCCGGCATGAAACAATGCATGGGATCAATCCCATCCAATCACAGATGGTTATAGCATCAGAGCCGGCATGAAACAATGCGATGGATCGCGGGGTGCGACGCCTGCAAGTGGCCATGAAACAGAAACAGTTCCACTTTGGAAACCAACGTTGACAAGTTCAGCTTAGTGAATTATGGTCATGAAAATCCCACGACCAACACTGCAGGCCTTTCTCCAGCAGTCAATTGAGAAGTGGGAGTAAATGCAAATGAGACTCAATACAACCTCCGATTAGCACGGTTGGCTACGTACGGCGCAAAAGAAGTTGAACATACATAAAACGTATAAATTAAATACAATATTATTTACACAAATACGTTGTGATTAAGACTCAGCCGAGTTGTATCTCACGCTAATTCATTTTACGCAAATCTCAATGGTAGACATTTCCCAAGGCAAGCAGTGGAGTAAATGTGCGTTATATTCACAAACCCGTTCGTTCAATGCACTGCTGAATAAAAGCGGGGGGAGAGGAGCGGGGGAGGCAAGGACAGTTCAAATGTCACTCGCCAATGTTGTTGGCCGTGTTCGAGAAAAGCAGACCGCTGAGTTCAATGCTCAGTACGCAAACCGACTGCTCCACCCGCAAAAAAAATTACAGAAATATTTCTCCACGCACTCCGCTTTTGAAACGTCCCCTCCTTACTTCTTCTTGGCTTTGAACGTGACCACGAACCTCTGCATTAATTTAGGCAGCCGCCTCTCTTCCTTTTGCCGGTCGCCGGTCGGATGATTAGTATGCACTTGGCGCTGCTGCTGCTGCAGCAACTGCTGCTGCTGCAGCAACTGCTGCGTTGTAAATCTCTTCATTGTCGTGGCTCTGTCATCACCACGGGGCCCACCGCTGCCGCCGTCCGTCCTGAAGGAGCTGTTCAGATAGGACAGCGAGCCGTGCCGGCTCAGCCGGTTGTAGTCAGCGAACGACACCTGCGCTCCACGTCTGCCCAAGTCCACGTCAAACCTTGACTGCCGCACTGGATGAGTGTCCAGCACCGCCACGGTTGCTGCCGGTGCCTCTGCTGCTGCTGCTGCTACCTTCCCCGCGTCGTCCTCGTCACTCTTGTAGAAGACCTCAAAGCGACTGTATGGGCGCTTCTCTCTGCGCATGCAGTCGATCTTCTGCAGTAGCTCCTGCGACCTGAGCTCAACGCTCTTGTTGACTTCGTCGCGCTTTGCGGTATCGAGCTCTACTGCTTCGGCTCCTTGTTCCACTGCTCTAGGGGTCAGCTCCTGTGCTTTAGTGTCAGTCAGATCAACAACATTTGGGGTCAGGTCGGCTGCTGTAGGAGCCACTTCGTCCACGGCCTCACTGATTGACTCTCCGTGTGAAGCCCCTCCCAAGTAATTCGACTCTGGCCGGACCTCACTCGGTGTCTTGGTTAGTTTGTTCCCTGCGTTAAGTCTGCGACTGGGCAATGGTGCCATATTGGAGGTTTTCGTGTCCACAAGACAATTGGTGCTGACATCAGGACTGAAATCCTCGAGCAGCGCCGAGCTCTTCATCTCAGCAGAGGCGAGCATGGAGGGGGTAGGGATGTGCTCGTACTTTGATGGAGAGTCTGCATAAGGTAGGTTGGTGTTCTTCGGGATGCTGCTCTCCGCTTGCCTTCCAGCCAACTCATCTGACCTGGCATCATCTATCCTCTGAGCGGCTTCATTTAAACAGTGCTCGTATCCCTTGTCCGGCGAAAAGTAAAACAGCGATCGGAATTTTAGTGACCTTTTGAGTTTTGCCATCGCGCTCTCATCCTTTTCCCCCTCTTTGCATAGCGAAGACATCTTCATCGTAGGTCCGTGGGGAAGTCCTTGGGGCTCGGTCTCCACGAAGGATGGCATTGAGAGCGTGCGAAGGGACAATTCGCCCGAGCCTTCCGCTGGCTTTCCATAGCGACAGTCACCCGCTGCTTCCTTGCTCTGAAGGTTATTCATGGACGTGGTTTGATGACGATTCAGCTGAAGATGATCCTGGCCCCCGGTTGCCGACAACATTTGTAAAGAGCTTCTCACTGTCTCCTTGTCTCGATCTTTCGAAGCTGTCCTGAATCTTGAAAAGAGCAAGGGCTGCTCGCTGGAATGTGTTTCACTCTGAGCGTTTGTAATTTCTGAATTCCTCCCTTGCTTGAGCGATACTTGTGACGCATACTTAGGAAACCTCTCCACATGTACACGGCCCACTGGAGCATCATAATATTTATTGATTGCAGACTCGCTTTTGTACATGCTGCTCAATGGTAGGGAGGCCTGAAACCACGAATTCCGTGCAAACTTGAACTTAGATTTGATGTTAATAATTTCCTGCGTCGTTTTTACCTGGGTGGTTATTCTTGTAGACCTGTGGAATTTTCCGGGGTAGTAGGCATCATCTCCTTTCACATCTGAAGTGTTGCCTTCCTCATTACAGCTACTCTCGTCAAAGTAAGGGTTGGCTCTTAATTTGTGGTCAGAGTTGACTTTTGTAGCCATTCCCTGTCTTCCTGTGGCACTCGTGTCGGCGTGCTCACCGTTGGACCGTCTGTATTCGTGGAACTGAGGTGGCATTGCGTACAGCCGGCCAGAGGTATTGCCTTCTGGTTTGCCAACACTGCTCAGAAACTGCGAGCCTACCATCACCTCCCTCGAGGAAGACGACAGCTTGCTGAATTTGTCCGAGTTGTGATGTGTTGTGAATTCGCAGCTCTCCTGCTGTGAATTTGTCATGGAGCCCTCGTGGGAGCCTTCACAAAGTAAAGAGGTCTGCCTCTGCAGAAACAATGCCGACCCCCTAAACTTCTGACTTTCGGCATCTAGCAAGCGTACTCTTCGTAACAGGTAGGCTCGCAAATTTTGGCGGCCGTACTGTCTTGGCAACGGCCAGTCGGCCGAATGCTTCCCTGATCCCTGCTCTCAAAAAACATATTGCTTGCTTGAAATCTGCTGCTACTTTCCATTAACTCTCCCAGCATAGCTGTGACGCTTCCAGGCATTGCAAGTTGAACTCGGACTCTGCAATGCCCCAGACGTCTTCTGATTACGAAAGAGCACCGAGGGCTTGTCGGGGGTACCGGAGTCGCGCTGCTGCTGCTGCTGCTGCTGTAGCCACTTCTTCCTCGCGTGAACCTCATCGTACGACATCATCAGGAAGTCCTTGTCACCAGACGCGACGCTCGGGTTGGTGGTTCTGTCCTTGAAGAACCCTCCACCCTTGATCGACGAGTCGGGGTTTCTTAAGCCGTGGCGTGACGAGTCGCGCGCAAACGCCCGGGCTCGTGCATCCTGCGTCTTCCCGTCGAGCTGGAAGCGATGGTCCCAAATGTCGTGCTGCTGTGCGATACCCCGGCTGGGGCTGCAACTGCAGTCCGGTGCGTCCGACTGGCCATAGAGGATGCGGAACTCCTCATCGAAAATCTCCACCACTTGGCCCGTGAACACCTGGACAATGCTCCGGTTGATCTTCTCGTAGGACCACGTGAAGCTGCAAACACACACGTGGATTTTATATGGGTGGCACGGTGGCGAGGTGTTAACTGCCTTGCCTGGTATGCAGGTGGTCGTGGGTTTGATGCCGACACTGACACCTGTATATATATGGAGCTTGGATGTTCTCCCCGTGGTCGTGTGGATTTTTCTCCGGGTCGTCTGGTTTTTCCCTCCAGATTTAGAATCAACACGCTTTTAGAGTATTTGTCTCCTAAACATTTCCACGTGATAAGCCACTTCGTTGAGTTATCATTTGTGGCCAGGCTGCTTTTAAAAAAAATAGCTATTATATGGTAAAATAAAATAAAAGTTGAGTTTTTGTGCCACCGTATCGTTAAACTATAGTGATACGTGATCTTTCGGAACAGAAATGTTTTTTTTATCTAACTGTAATCGTGAGGGTGCATGGCTTGCCATAGAGTTGATGCGAAGGGCAGTTCCACGCATTCTGATGTACTTTTCAGACACATTGAAGATGTGGGTGATCGTTAGTATAATTACGAAGTGTAATTTTACTTGGGCATAGTTTTTAAACCAATTAGGACTGGCATTCGGATACTAATAATGTGAAGTTACGTAACTTGTGGAACTGCCGATTTGTGAAAATGAATTCTGTGCTGTTGTGGGGCATTAAGGATAATTGAATAAACAACCAACCCTGAACACACCAGCTAACTATTTACAGCGCTTTGGTAAATGCCCCACAGAAAGCACCGCTTGACCATCAGAGTCATCAATCATCTAAAAACCAGTGTGGGTGTGGGCGCAGCCCTGCAATTTCTTCCTCATGCCACCGCTGGCATAAGAGCCTCTATGACAGGGAGCTCTGGGGAACTCCTCTCGAGCAGTGATTCTCGACCTGGTTTGGCACCTGTTACCACCCCCACCCCCCCTATCTTGGTTGAATTTTGTTTAAAACGAATGTACCCCCCTTTCCTGACTAAACATGGTTTTGAGATAATAATGAACATCAACAGTTTTACCAATTGCCCATTTTGTGAGCATCCTAACTGGTTAGTAACTGCAAAAGAATAATAAAAAAAATCTACGGACACTGCAAGAGTGACGTAATTTGTTCGCGCTCGCTGGAAACCACATTGTTTACGATCAATGCGTTTATACAGGTCTTTTATATCGTTCTCGGTTACCATATGGATTCAAATGTTATCGTAGTTATTCTATATTGCCAGATTGATATATGATGTATTCACCAATGACTCTCGTGCATGGTATAATTTCACACATTTATAAATATTCTTAGGTTTTTTCGGTAAAGTCACGTAGGTAAAACATTAAAATTAATAAAAGTAAAATAAAATAAAAATCACGACGTTTCGGAGGCAACACAAGCTTCCGTCTTCAGGTGGAACCGTCACAGCCACGACAGCTGTATCAAGTAAATGAGAGATTGCAAGAGCTACCATTCCGTATATATAATGGTTGAAGAGGGGGGAAGGGCCAAGTACAGCACACTTTTTATTCATATGGTAAGGTGAGGCTTAAGAGGGTGAGCCTTTATTATGGAGAGGTACGGTTTGTGACTAAGCCTGGCCTACATAACAATAGTGTGAAAAAAGAAGAAACAACTGAATAAAAGTGTGCCGTACTTGGCCCTTCCCCCTCTCCAACCATTATATATACGGAGTGGTAGCTCTTGCAATCTCTCATTTACTTGATACAGCTGTCGTGGCTGTGACGGTTCCACCTGAAGACGGAAGCTTGTGTTGCCTCCGAAACGTCGTGATTTTTATTTTATTTTACTTTTATTAATTTTAATGTTTTACCTACGTGACTTTACCGAAAAAACCTAAGAATATGAATCCTTGCAGTCAAGGATTCATATTCTTAGGACATTTATAAATCACCTCACGTACCCCCTGAGACATTGCCACGTGTACCCTCCAGGGGTCCGCGTACCTCCGGTTGAGAACCACTGCTCTAGAGGGTACTTGATAAACCTCTCAGCAGGCCAATAGCTCGGCGGGCCACTCCCAAGAGCCTTCGTGGGCCACACCTGACCCACGGGTCACGAGTCGTAGAACCCCGTGATGCAGCGTGTTGCAACGGCAGGTGTGTACGAGTGTCGCCGTCACCTGTAGGAGCCGCAGAGAGCGACCTTGCAGTCAATGAGAAGAAACTTCTCGAACATCTGCCCGTGGAACTTCTTGCCCGTTCGACAGCAGTACACGGTGCCCTTGATGACCCGCACTCGCATGTTCTACGCACAGAGAGACGCGCTTGCCATTAGGGCGGCACGGTGGGCTGCAGTGGTAACGCTTGTGCCTCACAGTAAAAAAGGGGCCTGGGTTCGATACTGTAACTGATTTAGGCCCATATTCTTAGGTTTTTTCGGTAAAGTCACATAGGTAAAAAATTAAAATTAAAATTAATACAAGTAAAATAAAATAAAAATCACGACGTTTCGGAGCAATCGGAGGCAACACAAGCTTCCGTCTTCAGGTGGAACCGTCACAGCCCGACAGCTGTATCAAGTAAATGAGAGATTACAATTTTTTACCTACGTGACTTTACCGAAAAAACCTAAGAATATGAATCCTTGCAGTCACGAAAGCTTCAAATCTAGAAATGATTTAGGCCCCTTTCTGTTCGGAGTGTGTATGTTCTCCCCCTCTTTTGCATGTGGTTTCCTTTGCGTTCTCCGGTTTCCTCCCATAGCTCAGAAAAGTTACAGTGTAACTGGCTACCTCCCCGCTTACCTCTATCTTGCCCGCGTGCACGCCACAGTGGTCACACATGTCCCTGAACGTGGGGAAGCCGATGTTGTCCAGCACGATGTAGACTGGCACCTTGCGCACACAGGCTACATCCATCAGGTCCCTGAAGATGTCAACGTCGGAGAAGACGTCCATCACAATGGCAATGACCTGCGAAAAAAAGACAATATCGCCTTCAGATAATCACTGGCTGCCAATGTTAGCCGTGGCCGAGAATCCGAACTCGGCTTGCCAGATTCGTAAGCGCAGTGCGTTAACCACTGTGATATGGTGGTTTAGAGGAGGGATGCCTTGAAGCCCCTAAGGTGACAAATTTGAGACATTTAAGTCACAGGCAGTGCCAATTCAATTATAAAAACGGTTACATAAATCCACAGCCCTCTGGGTCTTTGACAAGTTTGCAAAATGTCACTGTATACAAAAAATACAAAGACAGACATCACTCGGGCAGCCTACATAGACTCCCAGTAAACATGACACGTTGAGACAACGTTGGCATGTGGTTGGAACCGTTGGGTCAACGTTGCCTCAACGTTGATGTAAGTTAGCACATGAAGGCTGCCACGGCGCATGTTGGGGTGGATGCTGTGGCCAGCACCATGCCTGCCCGCCTTTATCTCCTCTGTGCAGATGTTTATACACCGCAGCAGGTATTAATGTTCAAAGCTGATTCGACCAGGGATAGGCCCAGGACTGATATCACTTGGTGCGCTAACGATTGCACCACCACTCCCCCAATGGTCTGTACACACACATTCTAACACACACAGTAAAAATAAATTCTGATAATTTAAAGCCCTTTTTCAATCCATTGCAGGATGAAGGCCTCACCACGGCGTGTCAGTCGTGGGAGTTGTTGAGCCATGTTTCACCACGCTGGTCATTGCGTGTATTAGTTATGGCCGTGAATTAGACTTCGATATTAGGTCTTTGGGTTCATGGCACAATGTGCTGACCACAGAGCCTCCCCACAAATACACACACGTCTCACAAAACAAACGTATATTTGCATCCGTACACACACATGTCTGGTGTGTAATTATGTATACAGCAGATTAAGTCTAATCTACAGACTTCTAAAGACTCAGAGAGTCCCTGATCCAACAATTTCACATGTAACCATGGGATTCTGAGGGTCCCAATTAAGAAACCTCATTTACGAGTCCAATGGTGTCGCCAAGATTAACATTCCACTCGAAGACACACAGAGACATATTCGCCGCTTAATTCCCCAACTTGATTCCGACTGTGGCTGCCGGCGTCACGCTATGGCGAGAGCAGCATGTCTAGCTGTGTAAGAGAACGGGCCATGGGGAAGCGGGTACCAAAGGGGCCGTCCATAAATGACGTCACACACCTTGGGGGGGGGGGGGGGGGCAGACATTTGTGACGATGTGTGACGAAGGGGGGGGGGGGGGTTGAGAAAAGTGACGTTGCATAAAAATGCGCAACTTTAAATAAATGTAGACAACACGTTCTACTTAATTAAATATACTTTTTAATATAAATGTTTTCTCCTACAACATCAGAGTGCAGCGCCACATTAAATACGCACTACAATGACACTAGTTTAAAGCGATTTGAAGCATGTTTTATTTTGGGGGGAGGGGGGGGACAGAGATTTGTGACGTCATATTTGAGGGGGTTCTGACTTTTTGTGACGATGGGGGGGGGGGGGTCAAAAATCGTCCAAAACCGCGTGACGTCATTTATGGATGGCCCCAAAACCACACAATTATTGGGGGGTGGGGGAGGCAGCACTTTCTGACTCTGAGAAAAATGTTCAACTGTGGCGCCGCTGGCTTCATGCGAACTCGGTCATCCTCGCAGAAGCAGCAGCAGCAGCGGCAATTTTGCCGGCCATCGAACAAAGACGGTCACCGTATGGGCGCTTCAGCGGCCGTCTGGAACGTTCTTCCTTCCGATATGGGGATGCCACTGGAGCCGTGCACTTTTAAGTCATCTAGATTGAAGACGAATTTCTTTAGGGCTGCTTTTTGTGTTTAGTTTTGTTGTCCTTCCCCCGAACCTCCGATTAGCGTGGTTGGTTGTATCTAGATTTGAAGCTTTCGTGACTTCAGGAATCCATACTCTTTGGTTCTTTCGGTAAAGTCACGTAGGTAGAAAATAAATGATGATGATTGCTTGTGTTGCAAGCTAAACGTCGTGATTTATTTTCTTTGATACCTACGTGACTTTACCGAAAGAACCAAGGAGTATAGCGTGGTTGTCTAATGTACGGTGCGAAAGAAGTTCAACATACAGTACAGTACATTTGGAGGCGAGGGTTTGGTAGATCACACAAATGTTGTGAAACGAATGAGTCATTCGTATCAACACAGGCGGTTCCTTTCCCTGCCACAGCCACACAAGGACACCTCCCAGTGATTCACGTTCACTTATTAATAATTATCGATACCGACAATCACCTCGTCCCTCTCGGCTCATTACTGTGTTCAACGTCGCATACGCGCGCAATCTCACAAGGAAGTGGCATTTCTGTTCTTGGCAATACGTTACGTCCTCTGCAGAAGGGCCCATTGCCCCGAAATGTCGCCCATTGTATTAATTATTATAAACTTTACAAACAGTTTTCCTTTTAAATACACAGTGTTATTGACGCATGCATTTGTGAATTGTGCTTGTGCGCAGCAGTGTCACCAAATACTTGTTTCTAGATTTGAAGCTTTCGTGACTGCAAGGATTCATACTCTTAGTTCTTTCGGTAAAGTCACGTAGGTAAAAAATGAAATTAAAATTAATAAAATTGAGATTTTTATTATTATTATTTTATTTTAATTTCATTTTTTACCTACGTAACTTTACCGAAATAACTAAGAGTACCAAATACTTGGTTTAACAAGTCGCGCGTCCTCCTGTAACATCACCAGAGTGTCTAGAATGAATGTAAAAACAAAAACACTCAAGATTCCATACGTCCATCGGAAACGCACGGACACACTCGCTCAACGAATAACCAAAAATCCCCCGCCGTCTCCTCCAAAAGCTCCAACCCACAGCGCTCGCTCACCTGCGTGGCTTGCCACAGCATGCGCCGCACCACCTGCTTGATGGTGGGGACCCCTTCGCCCAGCGGGGGCTGCGCGTACAGGGTCACGTTCGTCTGTCCGCGGCGGGAGCCCCCGGCGTGGGACGGCGAAGGCCACCCCAGCTCCAAATCTGGCACCACCACGTCCGACACGGTGGGCCAATAAGTGCACGAGCCGTCGCTGCAACGGTCGTCGCTGTCGTCGTCGTCGGCGGATTCCCCAGACGCCGTTTCTGCCGTCGGTGGCACGAGGAGGTGACGCCCGATGTGCTCCACGTCGCCGCGAGACAAGAAGTCGACGATGCCCTCGCGCTCCAGAAACTGCCGGTAGGGCACCTCGCCACGCTCCACCAGGACGTCGAGCGCCAGACGGCGCGGCTCGCTGTAGCGGGGGTCATCCTCGAGGTCACGCTCGGACACCTCGAGGTCTTGCAGGAGGTCCGTGCGTGGGGGGGGATGCCGGGCCATTTGAAGCGAGGTGTCCTGTCGTGTCTAACTCCTTGTTGTTGTTTGTAATCGTTGATGAGAGTAAACACGTGTGAGCCTCGCTCACGCGACTGCTGGTAGGAGAGTCTCCATTGAAAGGGTGTCTTCCAGAGGCACTCTGAAAGGTGTGATTTCGCCTACTCCTCCGCTCTGGCCGGACGACTTGGAGGAGACGGGAGGACCCACGCTTCATGCCATCGCACGCGAGTTGCCGATTTACTCGCTGGTAAATGTTGATGGTAAATCGGTGGCGTTTTTAAAAACGTGTCTCAATCTCCAACCTTGCGTATGTGAAGTACCCGTCGTGTTCTCTACACTTGAAACGTACGCGCGGTGGTGGACTGTGAGCTGCTAGAAAGGTCAGAATATAAATGTTCTCATATTACGAATGGACTTTAGAAAAAACCGTGAGAAAATTATAAATATGTACATGTTTACAACGATATTGTTTGTGTACGGTACGTGTACACCCCTAATGCTCTACACGTTACACACACGCGCGGTGGTGGGTAGACCTACCTGGTACCCGATATTGATTTAATTAACGATCTCAGTTTTTAAGAAACTCATTAAGTAAGAGTACAGGAGGCAATGTGCCTCACTAGACGTGTGTAGCAAGCAACCTTTCAGGCTACTTACATCAACTAGCATTGAATTCGTCGATATAAGCACGGTTTGAGGTATTCATCCAGCAGTGGAGAGATCATGGCTGCGGCTGCTTCTGATGATAAATATGCGCGCGTGGTGGTAGTTGTTGATACTTGCACCAACCTCGATGTTACTGCGTTCTGTGAACGCTACTTGGAGACGAGTCGAATGATGGCTCAGGTGATGACGACGATGTCTGTGTGAGTTTGTGTGTGATGTGTGCTCTGTGTATGTCAACTTGAGTGATGTATCTGCTGTGTGTGTCAACTTGTGTGATGTGAATGCTGGATCAACGTGCGTGATGCGTGTGCTGTGTGTGTGTGTGTTAACCTGTGTGCCGCGTGTGATCTTGCGTGAACTCGTGCCAACTTGTGTGAACTCGTGCGCTGTGCCGTGTGCGCTGTGTGCCGCGTGTGGACTGTTTGTGACTGTTCGTGACTGCACCTGTCGATGGGGACGCTGTCACTGCGAGAAATGTTCTTGTCCGCACAGCAGACCACCCCACACACAGCCCGCACCATACCAAGCCACCCAACCACCGACACGGGGAGGAGCAAGAGGGCATTATGCAAAGGTGTGGGAGTGTGTGCGTGGGTGTCCTGCTCACGGTCAACATCAGTGACGATTTATCTGAACCGGTCCTGGGCCTCCCCTAGGGTCGACTCAGCCTCAAATGAGTACCTGGTGCAGTGCGTAAAAAACATCGCCACTATGGAGACAAAGGCGGCCGGGCGTGGTGCTGGCCACTCACCCCCTCGTGTGCCGTTCGGGCCTTCATAAGTGCTCGCTAACAGCACTTGCCCCAACAGTCTGTTAAGGCTATGCGGGGGGATCTTTGTCTTTATCTTTGTCTTGGGCCTCTCCTAGATCGACTCAGTCTCGGGAAACAAAGGTGGCCGGGAGTGGTTGCTGGACCATCCACTTCACCCCGGTCGTGTCGCCGTACCGGCCTTCATAGATGCTCGCTAACAACAGCAATTGCCCCCAAAAGTATGGTCAAGCTCCACGGGGGGATCTCAGTATGGCTTTGCTTTTGAATGGGGAACCGGTTGTGTGTGTAGTGATTAGCGCGCTGCGCTACAAAATCCGGGCGACCCAAGTAGTGGAGGTGGAATAATTCATTCACCAGCATAGGTGGGGGCATACCTGAGTCTGGTTGTCGCAGTCAGAGGCTGCATTTGCTTGTACGGTCAACCTGAACTCTGCAACGGGTCTCAAGCCCCACCCCCGATAAACGTGGAACGTTGACTTCTGCTGGCTACCGGTCTCGCCCGGTGTACTTCTACGCCAGAGCTGGTCGGTAGCGATGGTACCCGGATTCCTCGAAGAGAAGTTGCAAGCAATCGGTTCGCGGGGAGGATCATTTAGTTTCCCCGTCCCGCTGACGACAAAAAAATACGCGACAGCTGAAGGGAGATGTAATCAGCTGAACATCCGTCTGGTGTGCTCCGCCCGGCCAGACGAGAATTGAAACTAAACTATGTTTTTGTATTTGACCAGGTAACGCTGACTGAGCTATGTAGCTCTTTTTCAGCAGCGACCTGGTCACAAATGATAGCTCAACGAAGTGGCTTATCACGTGGAAATTTATAGCAGCCAAATACTCTAAACTCACGATTATAAACGTGGAATAAAAAAAACCGGGAGGACCCGGAGAAAAATCCACGCGACCCACGGGGAGAGAGAGACACCGCAAACTCCAAATATACAGCAGGCGTCAGGATCGGGATGGAACCCACGGACCTCCCCCATACCAGGCGAGGTAGTTCACATCTCGCCATCGTGGTACCCCTATCGAATTGCACCCCACCGTCACGTCAAGCCTCCACGGGCTGTATTCAGACCAACCCTCCCGTGCCTATGTGGAAAACGGCCAATGCGGATCCCCTTGTGGCTGCCGACAGAGCCCCGAGTGACAACAAGGCAGAGGATCAATGCTGTAAGCTCAGTATGTATGTTGAACCTCTTTCGCACCGTACGTAGCCAACCGTGCTAATCGTGAGCTGTGTGCCAGACACGGCGTGATGTAAATAAAGCGGCCTCCAGTGGATGGAGGGGTCAAATGAACCTATTGCATGCCGCATATTTGAATCTAGAGATGTTGAGTCTTAAATTTCGATTTAAAGCTTTCGTGACTGCAGGGATTCATCTTCTTGTTCTTTCGGTAAAGTCACGTAGAAGGGAAGTAATAAAATAATAAAAAATATAAAATAAAACATAATAAAATAATTCTCACGACGTTTCGGCCACAACGCAAGCAGCCGTCCTCAGGTGAAAACCAGGTCTGTCGAGGCGACAGCTGTCGTTGTGGCCGAAACGTCGTGAGAATTATTTTATTATGTTTTATTTTTTAATATTTTATTACTTCCCTTCTACGTGACTTTACCGAAAGAACAAGAAGATGTTGAGTCTTAGGTACGCGATGCTATGCGTGTAACACCAGCTGAATAATTGTTATTCAGCGATTACGCATGGTTACACTCCATGATTGTTGTATGCGTGCGGGGTAATTGGCGCAGTGACATACCTCTGCAGAGCGGGGAGGTTGCCAGCTGGAATCCTAGCCGAGGGCCAATTTGCGTGAAGTTCGTTTCTGATTCCTGTGCGTAGCGTCCTCTGGCAATCCAATGCTGGATCGAGCCCTCCTCGTGAGAATTGTTCGACTATAATTGACCACAGTGGTCAATGATGTTTGGAGAATAGGGAGGGGGGGGGGGCAGGACAGGTTCAGACATCAATCGCCACTGATGTTAGACGTGCCCATGGAATCTGGTTCGTAACACAGATGATCCGCTCACATTATTGCACAAGTGCTTGTGAGGTACACCACCAATTGTATTAAAAATGAGTCCGAAAGGTCAGTAAGTTTCCAACATCCTTTAAACAGATGCTTTGAACTTACACCTGAAATCACCGGTTGTCTCACAGGGGTCAGAGTGCTGAGTCAACACTCTGGAGTCCTTGTGTCTGAATCCAGGGCTTTAGCCGCCTGTGACTCAACCGGGTTATCAAGTATAGCGAGATCATGTTCCAGACCTGGTAACCATTGACTTATGCATAAAAAAACCCATCATATTAAATTTAGATTTTCACTAAATTTGGCTAAATTCCAGCTCAGAGTGGCTTCCTAATATCGGAAGGAAGAGCGTTCCAGACGGCCGCAGAAGCGCACCTGAAAGTTCGCGATGCGGTGACCGTCTTTACTCGATGGCCAGCCAAAAGCCGTGGCTGCGAAGATGACCGAAGTTCGTGTGACAATCTCGACATTAAATTTCGATTTAAAGCTTTCGTGACTGCAGGGATTCATCTTCTTGGTTCTTTCGGTAAAGTCACGTAAAAAAAAAAAAGAATTCTCACGACGTTTCGGCCACAACGCAAGTAGCCGTCCTCACGTGAAGAAACAGGTCTGTCGAGAAGACAGCGTCTGAATGGGGCGTGTCATTCAGACGCTATCTTCTCGACAGCTGGGACACACTGGAACGCGGCCCAGATGGGGATTCTGCGCGAACATGCCCCTCCACGATTGTCATCTCTCCTCCCCCTCTTATTCGTGATTAGGGTCATTTTGCACGTTATTATTGGTTTTTTGGCGTAGGTGCAGCCCTGGCATTGCACCCGATTCAAGAGCCGAATGACTCACAGGGCTATACCTAATAATTAATTAATAAATAAACATTTTGCTTTCTCACGCCATCGCTGGGGTTTGGACCTCCGCTAGAGGGAGATTAAGAGAGCCCCTTCAAGATGGTATCTTGCCTGCGTTTCTCCGCTGGCCAGACATCGTTGAAGAGGTGGTGGGGCGGGAGGTACTCTCATTTCACCACACCACACTCACACAGCTGCCCATCGGCTGACTGTGGTGAACCCATTTATACTGCCGAGTGGACAGAGGCCATGGGATTGATGTAGTTAACTTGCCCCATTGTTTCAACCGCTGGCGCAACGGCAGATCGAACCGACGACCTCTGAATTGCAAGTCCAGTGTGGCAACCACGACAGCACGACATCTGCATTCAGATATTACAAAGCTTTGCCCCGAAAGCGGTGTTTCTCAAACTTTTTTGGCCCGCCAACCACTCAACCGATATAAACATTTACGCAGACCCCCCCCCCCCCCCCCATCCTTGGTGACTAAACGCAATCACTTCTCTCTCTTTAACACGTAGGCTTTCGCGACCAATATCATCCATAATAGAGGTGGACTTCTCCACAAATCTGGCTGTCGCCTGATAAAGCTGGTTGTAATTACTGGCGAAACGTCGTACTCAGATTGTAAATGTTCTGGCTTGGCTCTCCGACACACCGGTGTGCTGTACTAGTGACGAATTGGCCACGTTCTGTTTACGTGACAACCCTTACTAGTTGGCCGTGTCGGGTGGTGGCGGGTTTTAACGGCACATTTATATATTTACGCGATCTAACCCAAAACACCCCTCTATTATGGACTTCTCTCTCTAAATACCACTAATACCAAAATGATATTTTTTAGGTGGGGGGGGGGGGGTAGGGGGGGGGGTAATTTAGATCTCATGGTTTGGATAGTTTACTCAGGGGTAGTTTACCTAACTTTATTTTTAAATTAAATATCACGAGTAAAATATTAATTCGTGTCCGAAACATTGTCATTATTTTGGGATAAACTTGCAATTGCATCACAGCCTCGCGGGCCACGTGGAGGACTGTCGCGGACCACTGACTGGTGATCACGAGGACCACACTGTGAGAACCACTGCTCTAAAGCAACATTGACTCACCCACTTAGAGCCCTTACCAGAATCTACTCCCACACGTTCCGGCCAAACTACTTAGCGTGCATTACACACGCACAGAGAGATGTGACAGGACAGGGCCCGGCAAGGTTTGGCTGCCAGTACTCGGAGACGTGTCTGTGTGTGTACATCACACAGTATGCCTGACAAATACGTCATTACGTAAGCGCGCCCTTGTTCGCCATGTGAGACGCCTGCGATCCATCAGTTTGGAGGAGAGGGTTGGTGGATCACGTCGAAATTTGTGAAAGTTCCACACCCGCTCGCAGGGCTGCGAGATGGTCAGGACACAAGATAGCGGGTCCACTCACATCGTCCGCACAAATGGGTAAACCTGCTGAACAACTCAAAAGCGCAGGACAGTCTCATTTGAAAACACTTTTTGTGAGCATACGGACCTGTGGGTGAGAGTGCGCATTGTTTGCATGTCTTCGTTACGAAACATTTATGAAAACAAAAAATCACGATCACAAATCTAATTTTGAAAGCCAACAAACCAGTTTTCACCAACCCGGTTTTAATTGTAACATAATTTTGCATAAAGTATTTGCATGGTGTTGGCTGCTGGGATTCTCTCTCCACGAGCTTCTATTCTGCGCCTCTTCTCCAAGTCACATCCACC